ACTTTAAGTGCTCCTCGTGTCATATCTGATCAGATCGGAACGGAAGCTGGACTATATATATACAGTACATCTTCACTACAAAACCTCATCAAATTTTAACATTTTTTTTTTTAAATTTAACGCAGATGTGTTTTTAAGTACGAGCTTATGTTTCTCTATCTTAATTTGCTTATGTTCCTGCTTGTCGTTAAATAGATCAAAAGTTTAAAACTATATTTTTTATTGCGAAATCCTCTAACAAAATTTAAAAGTAATGACGTGATACCAACAATAAATTTAAATAAAGTATTAAGTAGCAAAACAATAACATAACCAAACTTTCTAAAAATTCCGTTAAGAGATATTCGATTTGAGGATTTTAGACTATAGAAGTTCAACTGTAGCATAACGCTCTTCTTTTATAGTCCACACTTGACTTGAAACTCATATTGTTCAAGGGGATTTATCATCCCGAAGAGTGACCGTGTGGTAATGAGCTATTGCGGTTATAACTCGCGTCTTGTGCAATTAATGATGTTAGCTTTTTATGTGCTTTTAACGTTTAACGTTTTTGCATTTTGCACTGCCCTTTTGGTCGTTTTTTCCGTTAGCAGGAAATCATCATCAATAAAGGTTCCCACGATATCTTGCTCCCCAAAAGAACTACCTCCGTCTCCATGGGTTATAGTAATAAAGCCCAAACTGGTTCGTAAGTTTATTTCTTTTGACACTATTTTTCGACCCCAAAAGTATGGTAAACAAAAACAACTGTTGCAATATAAACTAAATGCCCAAAGTGCCCTATTTCCTGTTCCGAGACTGTAAGCCCTTACAGCCCCATTAAAACCTGTTGATTTTCCTCAGCCTTTTGAGAGTGGCATATCATAAGTCGTGGGCTTATGAGATGGTTTATGTGCTTTTAATTGATTGCAATGAAAACGATTGAGAGATACTGTTATATCAAAAGGGCAGACACGCATTGATAAGTTTTCCCTTTCGTTGGACACTCAATGGCATAGGGAAATGGAAAAGGTACTGTCTTCATTAATGAATAACGGTACGCGAGTTTGGGCCCAATTAAGTAAAATAAAGAATGACCGAAAAGACAATGGGAAAGCGCTGGACCATCATTAAAATGAAGAAACCCAAAACACAAACTCTTACTGGAAATCAAAAACAGCAGTGGAACTTTCCTAGCTTGAACTGGTACGCTACTTAGTATTAAATATTAAAAAAATAATTATAAATATAGCTCTATATCAAAGGTATTTAAAAAAAATGCTATACAATATTATATAAAATATTTCGCACCTAATCTGAATTTTAGCATGTTCGTTTATTAAACTTATTTATATAAAAAAAAGTCATGTATTACAAATCTTCTATTGAAACTCGAAATAATTGAGAATGTATTCGTTTTGAAGATCATTTAATGTAATCGTAATATCTTCCAAATCGTTTGAAAAATCCGTAAAGTGCTTTTAAATTTCATGGGACTAACAGAAATTTGGACTTGAAAAATTTGATTCACATGAATTGGACCGCAAATGAAGATCAATCTTCATCAGTGGCCGTTACGATCTTGGAAAGACAATACCATAAAGCTGTGATTAAATACGAATTAGTGACAGGCGCAGCAGGAGTGCAATAAAAACAGCTAAAACACTATTGCAATTAATGAATTGCTACCTGCTGATTGGTAAACCAGAAAGTGAGCAGATTTTACTTGTTTGTTGTATGTTTTTTTTCGGACTTGCTTATTAAATTATGAATTGCGCAAGTTTCTTTTTACGGTTTTTGTTTTATGCATTGTTCCCCGCTTGCAAATATGATTTGTTGTTGCTGGCGTGTGCCGTTAGTTGTTGTTGGGGCAACAGGAAACTTATGATTGCGCAAAATTGCTGGCAAGAAATGCCAATTGCCAAAGTTATTTATACAACAAAAAAAAAGTGGTTGAAAAACGCAGACAAGAAGAAAACTGATTCAGGCTCTCGCTCTATCTGGATTTTTATCTTTTCCCCTCTTTTAACTGGATCTCACGCAAGCAACAAGTGCAACTCTATTATTGTGGTTGTTGTTGTTTTGATTCTTGCTATTAAAAATCAGATAAGCTTTATGCAATATTTGAATACCCTACACTTGTAATATGAATGATTTATTGAACCCTTCTATGTAATAAATATTAAAATCGTAGCTGATTCGCATGGGCTACGCTCACATAAGAAACGGAAAAAGTTTTTTACATTTAAATCTGAATATATAAAAACCTGTTTCAAGTTGTTTATTTTTTTAGCTCCAGATTTTCCCTAACCAGCATGAGTTTTCAAATTAGGTCATATCTTATCTTGGGTTCCAAAAGGTTCCAAAAACTAGCAAACAGTGAAAAAAAATTTTATAAGATTATTAAATATTGTTTTGTATAGCTAGCAAATACAGAGATTGCAATTTATTCAAGTTTTTTTTTAAAATCTTTTTTTTAAATGTTTTTTTTTGTTCTTTTATTTAAATAAATGCGTATGTTTTTAGGAAAGGGTATTTTAAACAAGTCTGCCTCTCTTTCACTCTGCATCTTCGTTTTGATTTCTGCTAACTGTAAATTTGTTTTCACTTTGTTTAGCGCATCGCATTACTGTTGTTTTCGTTGTTGTTGTTCACTCATTTTGGTATGTTTAATAGATTGTTCGACTTACAGCAACAACAAGTGGTTCTCAATCGGATATTCTCCCTCTCTATCGCTCGCGCTCTTTTTAAGATGCGACAGGTTGTTGGTAAATGATATCTACAGCTTCCTCTTGTTCCTCTTTCTCTTTTTCTGCTCCTTCTTTGCCTTCTTCCTCACTCTCTTTCTCTTTCTTTCGCGGCGACTTAACTGTTTTTACTGTTTTCTTGCTTTCTTGGTTTATGTATTTTTTGTTGTATACATTGCACTTGTTGGATTTTCACAATTTTTGAATTTTATTGCACTTTCTTTTCTCTTGCCCACACACACACAGGTACTTAATGCCTATGTATGCAGTACAGCTAAAAATTATTTCAACGCCCGCGTTGTTTTTGTGGCCTTTTGAATAGTTAACTAATTTAAAGCCAGCAAACAAGACTTCTTCTTCTTCTGCCTGACCTGTTGCTTCTACCACTTTGTCTTGTTGTCTTTTTTCTAGTTTTTTCGGTGTGAGTGTGCGTGCGAGCGAGCGAGTGTGTGTGTGTCGGACCTTTTTTGTTAGCTCTTTTTAACGACCGCCGCGCATCCGCTTGGTTTCGAGTTGAAAAAACAACTGATCGCCGCAGCGAAACGCAGGTAACCACGAAGGTAAATTAAGGTGAGCTGCGCTTGCGGAGAGCGCGAGAAACAGAGAGCGGGATTCCAGCACGCACATATGTAGCACCAAAAACAACAACATGGCCAGGTGATTGTCTGTTTGCCAATAGGCTAGTTGGCAACGCGGGGGAGATAGGGAGAGCCCAAGAGAGGGTTACACAAACTCCGTACTTGAAGCTTGGCTTACAAACGAGAGCTAATCCATTCGGTCTCTCAGTTTATTTCCCACGCTGCGCAAGACAGTTACGCTCAGTGAGCATGACCCCCTCTCTCGCTCTTTCTCCCACACACACAGAAGTTACCAGCGCCGCTCCACCAACACACTGACCCATCGCACACACTTACACCTGTGCACTGTTTGCTCCGCTCTTCTTCTTCTGCTTCTTCCTCTTCTTCGCTTGCTCAATTACCAACGGAGAATGGAGAATAAGTTGCCCACGTAGAATACAATGACTTACCTGTTTACCTTTCCTTTTGGCCAGAATCATCGTAGCCAGCAATTAACTATTATTTACTATTATTAACTATTATTGAGTTGGTAAATATCACTGTTTTAGGAGCGAGCGAGGCATACAGAGCAAAAGCAACAGGCGACGGCGACTAACTGGCTGACAATCGAGCAACGTAAACGCATTTTGGTCTAAACCAGCGAGAGAGGGAGAGAGCGCTTGTATTGCGAAGAGAGCGCAGGTGTCTGTGTGCGTGGGGCGCTTACCTGTGCTCACGAGTGTCACGGCCCCAAAAACATCGTTATCGAAATGTTAACTCGCTTTTTGTGAATGCACCACCAACATTTTACCCTATATATCTACACAAATAGGCAAACCACTTAAAAAAATGGAAACAATATTTTCAACGCGATTTTTATGGGTTTAAGTTAAACTACCCAATATTCTTTTAAATGCAAAAGGTATAAGACAAAAGGTCAAACAGTTCCAAGTTAGGGGTAAATTGTAGTTCAAATGCAATTACCGAAAGCAATATCATTTTGTTTCTTACAACATTTATTGTATGTACATAGACTACCTTATAAGTAATAGAGATTTCAAAAAACTAACCAAACCCCCAATTTCGTATCGTATGGACTTGTCAGTGGCCAAAAAGTATGCAATGGCTTGGAAAAAGTGAAAATTGCTTGGCAATTGGCCAATTTACAATCAGAAAGAAGAAGGAATGCTGTAGCCGATACTCAGCTAACCAATTTCAAAATAAATATACCTCCTTAAAATAATCAGGTTTTAAGTGGCGCCATCTGCCGGAAATTTTGCATTTATGCTAACAACTTTTAAAATAAGTCGATATATATTGACCGAATAAAGCAGTATGACTGGAGTCTAGCAAGCCACAGAGTGACATGACAGACTTTCCCGATTTGTGGGCGTTCGAGTGGGCGAGGCCACATTTGACTCCACGAGTAATGTGGATAAATATCCTTAATTAGATTTGTAGTTTTGGCTTTAATTTTTAAAAATTAATTGATTTTGAAGATCGTTAGATTAGGTAAACGAATTTGCAAATCCTCGCCGTCCTCTTTTAAGAAATCAAAATCTTGCAAAATATCTAATATAAACATGTGCTAAGAAATTAAAAAACAAATAACTATGTATTTCCCCATTCCCGATCTTTACTTGCTAGTAAAATACCCAAATATGCATTTCCAGTGAAATTAAATCACGATTTCATATCTCACAAGGATTCCCACAAATTCAAGGGCTAGGGCACATTTAATAGATACATTTTTGGAATATTGCACAATAGAAACATATAAAATGGCATACTGATAAGGACAAAGGCCGAAGATAATAGTGAATAATCATCCTCACAAGATAATTTCGTTCTTGAAGCTGCGGCTGAGCTCCTTGTGCGGCAGTACTATACTGTTCAGCAGGATCTTCTCGGCGGGGACTTGCACGAAACAGCCTGCAAATAGTGGTTCATTTAAATAAAGGGTCTTACACTAGTTAAATGTACTTACCCAGTATGGTAATCGAGGGATTCAACTTTCCCTCATTGTTGAACAGCGGTGGGTTTTCCATTTTGGCAAAGGGCTTATTGGGATCCGGATCACTTGGTGTGCCCTCGACACGTGCCCAAGCTCCTATGGTGGAACCCCTGCCCACAATCGAGTGCAGGACGAGCGTGTGGTCCAGAATTTGAGCCTGCTCCAGAACAATCGATTCGCGGATGCGCACACCAGGTCCAACGGTCACTCCAGGTCCTATGGCCACATTCGGCCCCAGCTAGAAGTACAAATAAAGGGACAATTAAAAAGAAAATTAATAGAATACAATCGAACTTCTAAAAGCTTCAAGCTACCTAGCTCAAATTCTGTATGTATATTACTTGAAGTTTCCATAACTCATAACTTATTCAGTTTATGATAGTTTGTTTTTATATACAAGTTACGTTAATAAAATCAATATGTACTGGAGCAATAAACAAATAAAACTATAAACAGAAGAGACAATTCGTTAAATAACCGATTCTTTTCTAAATATATATACCTATACTGTAAAAATATATATATAGTTAAGCAAAAAAGGAACACTTCCTTAATTGTTGTGTACCTACCACAGCGCTGTGATGAACGGTGGCACTGGGATGAACGTAGACATCCGGAAACACGGTGCATATTAAGCTGCCATCGCCCTCTCCGCGTTTGGTTCCCACATTGGCCAATCTCTCCGGATGCGTTTTCTTGTACAAGCCCAGGTAATGACGATTCGCGTAGATGGCGGATCCGGCGGTCTTCAGTTGGGACCACCAATTGGGCACCGGCATGGCGAAGAGCTTATCGGTGCCCGCCAGCGGAGTGAGCACTTCCTGCTCCCACTTGATGTGGCCCTGCTCCCGACCATTTCCATTTCCATTGCCATTGCTGAATCCGTGGCAGCCGTACTCCTGACCCCGCGAGTGGAAAATCTGCGCCAGCACGGTGAATATATCCATGGAGCAGACATACACTCCGCAGTTAATGAAGGTGGACACATAGGAGCTGGGCTTCTCCACATAGTGGGACACAGCACCGCTGTTCCGATCGAAAACCAGGCATCCGTAGTGCAGCGATTGCTGGCGCGTTGCTTCCGTGGACATGATGGTCACCAGTGCACTCGATGGACGCTTCTCGTGGAACCCACACAGTTCCTGCAGCGGAAAATCGGCGCAAACATCTCCATTCAGAACGAAGAAGGCTCGCGGATTGCCAGCTCTAATTTGATCTCGGAAGTGATACATTCCACCGGCAGTTCCCAAGGCAGTGAACTCCTGCAGGTATCTAGAAATAGGGACACGTCATGCTTGGGTATACGATAGTTCTTCAGGGAAGTCTTATCTTTGTACCATGAAGAACATATATTTTCTTGTTATTGTTAGGTTTGTTAGATCCTGACCAAGTGGAGCTAGTTATGGGCTTTTGGGTTTGTGGTTTTGGGTTCAAGACCTTTGGAACCTTTTTGCTATCCAGCATTTAGAATAACTTTGTTATATTTATAGATAAGTGCATGATAACTGGTTTTAAATAATGTAAAGCTTGTTAACTATGGGTTGCCACTCCTCAAACCTTCACTCCCACCTTCACAACAACAACATCCATTTGAACATGCTCACCTGATGTTGATGTTGCTGCTGCTGTACAGGGCCTGCATGTCGCCGACGAATCCCTCCATCTGGGTTTGCGGGTAATAGCCGATGATCAGGATCTCCCGGAGATCGGGGAGCTGGGCACAGGCCTCAATATGATGGGCGATCAAAGGACGACCGGCCAGTGGAAAGAGGGGCTTGGGCGTGTCCAGCGACAGGGGGCGGAAGCGGGTGCCCTTCTGGGGGCCCCCGATCAGGATAACGGCCTTTAGCATGGTGTGCGTGCAGCGGACTGATGTGACTAATGCCGATCGATGAATTCGTGGCCGATTCGCAAGATATATATTTTCTGTTTACGTTGCCAGCTAGAAAATATTCGGTTCTTAACAGCTGATTGCGCTAACAGCACTTGGAATAACTGATAACGAACTTAACAGCACACTGTGTTTTCGCTGTTAACTTTACAGCTTTTGTTATCCAGATGTATTGTTTTGAATTTGAATTTTCCCAGCAAAATAATATCCAGGAACTTATTCCTAAAACGTGTCCAATATATATTAAAATTCAAGAAATTCAAATATCACATAAAAAATTGAACCAATTTATATATTTAGAACTGAGTAAAAATTAACTATCACCTTTGCAACAACAGATTAAAAACATGCAATTTTAACAACGATCTGATAATTAATATTTCGTGAAAACAACAACTTTTGCCAATTTAATATAAATACAAGAGAATGTATTACAAAGTAATAATAACTTTTAGTAAGTTTTCATTGAGACTTAAAATAAAACCCAGCAGATTTCAAATAAATATTTATTTTTGGCAATGGTGTTGTTGGGCAATTGTTTCGAGTGTGCACTGTATCTTCGCTGAACGACTGTTACCTTACAGCCCTGGAACGACCTGGCCATGGGCAAACTCCAGTTATCTTTGCCCAGCACTGAATTGATTTTCCAGATTTTGATGTTGAACAATTCGATTTTAATCTATTTTATACAACGAAAACCATTTAATAAATGTCTTTAAATACACGATAAGAACAAAGGCGAAGAAGCACTGAATCTATGGATAATATGAATAGCAATACTCTGACGGTTGCAGCAATACGAATCAGTGTTGTAGGGTAGCTCCTCGAATCCAACTGAATCCCGGGAATTAGCGCACCAGATCCTCCGGATTGAACATGCCGCGGGCGCGACGCAGAATGGAGTCCTTACTGGCGTCGTAGGGATGGTCCTTTGAGGGAATCTCGAGGACCGCGGGAACGGGCGACGTGTGGGCATCGATCACGTGGCGAATGAGCTCCGCGCAGTTCTGGTTGATCAGGATGATGTCGATGTCGTCCCGCTTGAGGAACCGCTTAAAGCAATCCTCCAGCTCGCTGACGGCCGTGTTTTTGTCCACGACCATGAAATTGGGATGGCGGTTCTTGTTGATCTCGCCCACGCCGCCCAGCAGGAATCCCACGCAGGTGTCCTCGTCGCCGATCACGCTGATCAGTTTTCCCTTAATCGCCGAGTGCAGAGCCATTTCGTTAGATTTTTCTGTTCTTTTTCCGGGGAGCGATGTGAACAGCGAAAATAAAACCTGACTTTGGAAAATGTTCGGGTCAGCTGGTCTCTATCACATGACCCACTCGCGCCCAACAGCACTGGAAGGCCGTTAACAGCACAGTGGCATTTCGGTATGTTTAAGGTATTGGGAAAATACCAAAGTGTAACGGTTCACGATATAAATACCATTATTGAACTTTGATATGAAAACAGAAAACTTGTCTCAGTGCTTACAAAAGTAAATTGCCCTTTTTATTGACCTTAATAAATTAAATATTTTTATTGATAGTGTAATGGCCAAGCATTTAATTTTATGAGAGTGGCGAATCGTTGATTAAAAATCGTATTAAATTAGGCAAAAATAATTAAAATAATATCTGTTTAGTTGTATTTATTTATTTTGCTTGGTATTATTGTTTTTTTTTTTAAAGGCATATTTGGTTTCTTATAAGAACTAATCAAATGTGGTCACATTGTTTGTAGAAATTCAAATTAAAAAAAAATTAAGATTATTATTCTAGTATAAAAAAAACTTAATTTAGTATTATTAAGAATTCCAGCCATATTGTTCATATTTATTCAATTTAAGCGTAGAAAGCTTATCGTTTAAAGACCGCACGACATCTCTTTGCAAATCGGGGTTATCACAATATACCACTTGCGGAGTATAAGGTATGGACATATATATACTCTCGATCAGGATCAAAGGCCGACTAAAAATTTAAAATTGATTTTTCCTTAAGAAGAGCAAAATTATTCTCCTTATATCTTTATTCTTATATTCTCTAACAATTAAAATGTTTATATTAATATATATGTATATATATATTGATTTTATTGCTGGAATTTCATCGAAAAACATACTGATAAGCTTTGGACACGACTTAAGCTTGAAATCATCTTGCGCTGGACTTTCAGTTGACTTAAATACCTTCGCCCGGAATGACGAAGGCAGCAGTTTGGATTATTTTAGTCGGTTTGCTAGGCCATGGATCCTCCCTGTTTCTCGAGGAGGATTGCGGAGTTACATACGAAGTTGTAGCAAAAATAAACCACGGAAAAGCTGCGGGGATCCTTCAAAATCCCTGGATGGCACTAATTAAAACACAGGAGGATTTCATCTGTGGAGGAACGATAATTACCAAACGTTAGTACTTAACACATCACTTTGGTAGTGACTATTCTTAAGCACCTCTGTTTCAGGATTCGTCATGACGGCTGCGCATTGTCTTTGCGAGACGCAGGATTGCAATACGAAGCGTACGGGGCTGTAAGTTGATCCTTGAGGCAAAGTGAGGCAGAGAAAATAACCGGCAGTTACTTTACAGCATTGCTCGCCTGGGAGAGTATAACCGATCATCGGAAATTGATTTCGCGCATACGTATGAAGACTTCCCCGTGGAGCAGTATTACGAACACAAGGGTTTTCGAATGAAGAACCACTTGAACGACATAGCTCTGCTCAAATTACAAGGAACTATCGAGTACAAACGCCAGATTCGACCGATTTGCATTCTTGTGGACAGCCGAAAGAAGTCGGATGTGGATAGAATTCCGATCTTCACCGCAGTCGGTTGGGGATACACGGAAAAGGGAAATCTAAGCGATGTGCTTCAAACTGTCAATATAAACCGAATCCCCAAAACCGATTGCAACAACATCTTCTGGGGCAACATGGGTGACACACAGATCTGTGGTGGCACAGGAACCGGAAAAGACACTTGCAAAGGAGACTCCGGAGGACCCTTGTACTCCAATGCCTTGTATGGAGACACATGGCGCAGGACCCAATTGGGAATCATTAGTTACGGAGCCGACAAGTGTGGCGGAATAGGTGTATACACCGATGTAATGAGTTTCGTCGACTTCATAGTGCAAACTGTCATGGAACACGACATTACCGTTCTAGTTCCGAAGATTGAACTGCTGGATGCAGGCTGCTTGGACGGCGAATCACCATCCGGAGCAGCTACTCTTCCGTGGCTGGCTGAGATCTACTTGGACTCTTTTCTGATCAATTACGGAACCCTCATCACCGACCGTTTGTTTCTATTTTATGATTTACTTGCCTGAGTTGACAAAACTCATATTTCTTCCAGGTTTCCTGCTGACCACTGCCCAGCTAGTTCCCAGTGACGGGCCATTGTAAGTGGCTTTATTTTACCAATAAGTCCACAATGTAATTTCATTTACTACTCAGGCAGGTTCGTTTGGGAGGCGACAAGGTGGCCTATAAGGTCAAGGCTGTGCACAAGCATCCTGATTTCGTGAGTTTGAGTGAAAACGACATTGCCGTGATTGAATTGGAGCACAAAGTGAACTACACTGGTAAGTGTGGGAAAACATGAACAGTTCACTGATACTAAGCCCAGAAAATATGAATGAAATATTAATTAATTAATTAATTACCAAAAACTAAGTTGTTTTAACAATGTTCTTTTATTAAATATATCTTTTTACAGCTACAATCAAGCCCATTTGCCTGCCATCATTGACCAACAAAGTGGAGCAGGAGAAATTCCAGGAAAGAGCTAATCTGGCCAAAAACCTTCGTGTCGTCGGCTGGGGCAGGAAAACTTCAACGCTGGTTCAGCGGGTCGATTCCAACAAGTGCTATAAGGTAGACCACCAGGAGATCGGAAGCAAGCAGATCTGCGTGGCCCATCCCAACTCCAATACACTGAACGTGGGCAGTGGCAGCCCATTAATCATGCCCCTCGACCACGGAAAAAGCAAGGCATTCACACTCGTCGGTTTGGCCAGTTTCGGAAGACGAGAATTCGTTTCTCAGGATGTCTACACCAATGTCTTAAGCTATTTGGATTGGATAGGCACTTTGGTAAAGCAATAGAGTGATCTCAGATCTCGGTCAAAAGACTTTAAATAAATGCTCAACAAAAAAATTAGTCATTTAATTCGCAATTTGATTAGACAGACTTGGAATCACCTATAGGTCAAGAACTCGGGAATTTTGCCAAATTTATAATCTAAAAGAGACGAGATAAGCTGAGAAGATGAATAATTGGAATCTCTGTGTTTGCAATAATATTCATTGGAAATTTTGGCTGCTTTACTTTATCAGTTTTATTAAAAAACTACGTAAAGAGTGACAGGTCAAACCAGTTAAAATCTAAATTCTTGGTAAATTTCATACAGATATGTTTCCATTGAATTTTATTAGAGATAACGGTTCAAAACAAACAAAAGGGGTTATATTTTTTTGGTTTTAAATCACCGTTTCTTTTATCCAGTTGATGTAACTTTTAATATTTGTAAAAACGATTAGGCCATTCCTAACAAGGCTTATTTGGCCAACTAAAAGGTATCTATCGACACCTTTGACATTTTGAAATGAACCTAGAACTGAACCAGGCTTCTCGTAAATAAAATCGCTAGGTTTCTCGACACAAAATTGATTAGATTCAACTGGAACTCGAATGACTCTTGAGCAAATGGAACTGTCGATGCGACTTAGATTTACTTTTCGAACTCCGATTTGATTATTTCTGTTTGCAACGAAAAGTGCAGTCAATGTCCTTGGGATTTTTGGGTTCAATCCAATGCAGATCGGTTTCACAAGATCTACAAGTAAAAGACTTGATTAAACCTACGAAGTGATCCAATCTAAATTTGAATTACTTGAATTTGGAATCTTCTCAGTAAGTTTAAGCAAAGCAATGTTGTTCTTCATTGATCCTGATAAATGTGTGAATTGTGGATGCTTGTGGATGGATTCAACATTAAAGCTCTGATGATACCTTGTTTCCACTTTGCTGTAACATAATATTATCATAATATTTCATTAATTATAATGAATTTGGGTCTAAAACAAATGTTTAATTGGCATGCACACAAGTACTACTTACATTTGTGTGACTTCTGTGGGAAGGGCACTGGCAACAGTTATGACAAATCCTATAGAATTTTAAACCAATATAAAAAGGAGCTCTATAGGCTGGTCCATAAACTACTTACGATCTGTAATTAGCGAGCCAGTAAAAGTGTTCTGAAGTAGTGACACCTCCCAAAGGCGCACAACAACTCCGCCGGTCCAATTGCTAGTGCACTGCTCGAACAAAAGCCCCTCCTCCTCCTCTATGGCTCCGAAACCCCTCACAATATTACCTATCCAGTCCTTAAAGGCCATCACATCTGTATGGACTGAACCGTCATAGCTCATGATCCCAAACTGTGCGGTGATCATTCTCCCCCGGTAATTTAAACTGACCGCCAGCGGACCTCCGGAGTTGACTACTCCTTCAGCAGTGCAAATAAGACCTCTTCGTCGACATTCCTCCGACGTTCGCCGAGTTACAAAGCTAGTCTGCAGTCCGGAATCCGATTTACCCCACCCAATGGCCTCCAAAGTTGGGACTTTCTCCGTTCTTATACCATCATCCAAAGTTATGCAAATTGGCAGGATATGAGCTGCACATAAAATAATCAAAAAGGTTTATAGAATGTTAAAAAAATTAATGCGGAAAAAAAGTTAATTTTGGTTTATTTTCTTACCCCTATAACTTACTGCAGTTTCCAATCTCAGTAGACCTAAGTTACTTGTAAAATCTGTAAAATTTCGATGGACTATAGCCTCCTTCACATTATAGGATTCCACTTCTCTGCATTGCGAATGAGGGCACAATCTGTCGCTCTCTCCCAAATGCACAAACCTAGGACATCAGGACATCGGAGTTTAAATGTGGCCAATATCAGAATGGTACTTACAGTGTTTTCTGATGTTCAATGCAATGAGCTGCGGTTAGGACGAATTCTAAGGGAAGTGAAACTTAAAATGTGTCATAAGCATAAATGTTATTTGACTCACGTCTGTGGACAAGTGTTCCAGCGCAAACAAATCCCGTGGTGTTGTATATGCTTGCCAACCAAGGAGCACTGTGCCCACTGCTTACTTTTGAGCCAATCTCCGCCTGGCCGACGCACTTTTCATCCAGGAGTTGAGATAATCCCTCGTGGCAGAGCACCAATGCGAGCAGAGCCAACGAAATCATGGCGGACATCATTCCCAGCGAAAATAAGCCAAGTGACTGATTGCAAAGTACAACATTCGTTCAAAAGAACAGATAGTGAGGCTTATCAGCCACAGCTAAAGCTTAAAATAAATGAATATTACGGATTATTCGCCTGATCAGGGGCTTACTGGAAAAGTGTACAAGTTCAGCGTGCAAGGATATTTTTCTTTTAATCGTATACTATCAATAACGATATTCTTGTTACCGACCCATCGTAAATATTTGATATAAATATGCGAATTGGGAAAACTTTCATCAATAATTAAAATAATGAGGATTAGAGCTGTAGACCAGAACGCAAGTAACAAAAAATTTTAAAAATAAATTTCAGCTTTAACAGACCTCTATCGATATTCAGTATCAAATAACAGAACTGCAGATGGATTATAGCCAAGCTCACATTATAGGCGTCCGCACCACTGTACGATTGTCGTATTCTCCCAAATTAACGGACCTAAGCCAAGCTGTAAGGACGAAACATAGAAAAAGTTAAAGTTTATATATGGGTTCGCTAAAATAATTCTCATCTTAAGGTTAGTAATAAGAGTTCCACCGCAAAAAAATAACCCGGTTTCATTGTTCAAGCTCGCCGACTGGTCGGCTAAAAGTTAAGCCAACCTCCGACTGCTCTCGCATCCTTCATCCAGAAGGCGGGCTAATCCTCCGCGGCGGAGTACCAAAACTTAAACTATGAAAAATATACAAATAGCATTTGTCTGTTGCAGCTCGAAATTAAAAACAAAAACAAATATTAAATTCAAATTATGTTGACCAGCTGAATTAGTATTTTTAAGTAGGCTGTCATAAATATGCGATTTCAGTATTTTTCAAGCCGCATGGCTTTTTCAATCGCTCGCGGCTGGTCACACTGTCATTCAAGCAAGAAGCAGCACGCGGCGCAGAAATTTGCCAATAATTTTCGCACCTCCCTCGAAAGCGTCGCAAGAGGAGGCGTCGTGAGATGGCAATGGCAACGGGAGCAGGATCTGGTTCAGGAACGGGAGCAGGTGCGTCCGTGGAGCAGCTGGTGGCCCAGACACTGCAGGCGGCCACCAATCCGAGCCACGAGATCGTCCAAAAGGCGGAGGCGCAGCTGCGCGAGTGGGAGCAACAGCCGGGCTTCTTTCCCACAATTGCCCGGCTGAGCATGCGGCGGAGCGATGGCGTTGGAGGCGTCGACGGCCAGTCCTCGGCCTCCTCCTCCGCGGATGACTCCGAGGTGAAGGTGCGCTGGATGGCGGCCGTATACCTGAAGAACGGCGTGGAGCGCTACTGGCGGCCCAATTCGCGGCAGGAGCTGCCCGCCGAGCAGAAGCAGCAGATCCGGGAGGTCCTGCTGCGCCACTACGACGCGGAGGAGGTGCCCCAGGTGGCCCTGCAGATAGCCGTGCTCCTGGGCCGGCTGGCCCGCACAGACTACCCGCGCTTCTGGCCCGAGCTCCTGCCCACGCTGATGAAGCAGCTGCAGGCCTGCAACGCGGAGGCGGGGGCGGGGGACTCTGCCGCCCTGCAGCAGCGCATCCTCATCGCCCTGCACTATGTCCTGAAGGCCTTGGCCTCCCGCCGACTGATGGCCGAGCAGCGGGCCTTTGAGGAGCTGGGCTCACAGATCTTCGGCTACTTGGCCTGGGACGTCTGGGCACCGCTCACGGCCCGCTTTTTGCAGCTGGTCCGCAAGGAGGAGGCACTCGCTCTCAATGCCCTGCAACGCGCCTATGTAGTGATGAGATCCCTGCGCAAACTGGTGGTCTACGGCTGTGCCAAGCCGTACAAGTCCACCGACCACATGAACTTCGTGGAGCAGCTGTTCCAGCGGCTTCGCCAGTGCCTCGAACTGCGCTACGAACTGAGGTTGGGTTCGGCCACGCCCGGCACCGCCACGATACTCGCCGAACTAGAGCGCTTTGTGATCAAAATGATGAAGACCCTCAACGAACTGATGGAGCGGCACTCGGTCTCCTTTGCGCGGTTCGTACCTGTGGCCCTGGAGTTCAGCTTCCATTATGTGTTCCACGAGGGCACAGGCCTCATCTTCGACGCCGGCGATCGCATCAACTTCAGCAACTTTGCCATTCAGGCGCTGAACATGCTGAAGGGCATCATGCTGAGCGGCAACGATAGCATCAGTGCCCCGCCCGAGGGCGCAGCCTCCGTAGAGGATGAGCTGCTGGCCAGTGCCGCCCAGAGCCACGCCAAGTTCTTCACGGCGGAGAGAGTCACGTACATCTGCGAGAAGATCGTGACGCACTACTTCCTGCTCACCCAGCAGGAGCTGGAGGAGTGGCAACAGGACCCGGAGGGCTATGACCAGGACGACGGCGGTGGCGACGCCTGGAAGTATGCGCTGCGGCCCTCCGTGGAGACCCTCTACTTCACCTGCTTCACGCAGCACTCGCAGGTGATGATCCAGGAGGTGCTCCGCTTTGTGAGGCGCGCCCAGCAGCTGCAGCTCACCCCCGAGTCCGATCTGAAGGCCATCCTGCTGAAGGACGCCATCTACAATGCCGTGGGCCAGGCCGCCTTCCATTTCTTCAACAAGCTCGACTTTGGCGCCTGGCTCACGTCACAGCTGCTGGCGGAACTGCGCGTGGAGGCGCCCAACTTCCGCATCCTGCGTCGCCGCATCATCTGGCTGGTGGGCCACTGGGTGGGCGTGCAGCTGCCCCGGGAGCTTCGTCCCCTGGCCTACGAGGCCTGCCTGCACCTCCTCCGTCCGCAGGAGGACATGCCCACGCGGCTGGCTGCCGCCAGGACCCTGAACCTGCTGATCGACGACTTCGAGTTCATGCCGGAGGCCTTCCACCCCTACTTCCCGTCCCTCTTCGAGGCCCTCTTTCTGCTGCTCCACGAGGCCGCCGAGTGCGACACCAAGATCGTGGTGCTGGGCACGATGACGCTGCTCGTGGAGAAGATGAGTGAGTATATAGAGCCGCAGGCGCTGCAGTTCATCGCCTATTTGCCGCTCCTGTGGCGCGAGAGCGAGGAGTACGATCTGCTGCGCTGCGCCATCATCGGCACCCTCGAGCAGCTGGTCCGCACCATCCGTGATGTTCCAGAGCCCATGAAGCCCTTCCTCTACAGCGTCATCGAGTTGAGCACTGACCTTCAGGTGAGCGGTGGATTTACTTACTGACATTGAGTAAGGGTTTCTTAAACAGTTAAGAGTTTAATTTTCACTTCATTCTATTAGGATTTTATTAAATTATTTCGTTTTTTATTTTTTTTTAACAAAAATCCATTTCAATTTGGGTTCAAATCGTAATTATAATCAGTAAAAGTCCGTTCATTTTAAGAACTTTAAAGTGTTTCTGTATGCACAACTAAATTGAGTTTTGAACATTACAATTTATGTCACCAAAAAAATCATTAAAATTTAGAATGCAAAAATAGGCATTTAGATATATAAATAGATTTCTTTTCTCATTATAAGATCCTCTTAATAAAATCAAGCAACAACAGTTGAATTTGGGAATTTACGTAATTGATTTTTAAAATAAAAATATTTCAATGTCTAGGTTATCAGTATAAAGCAACGAAATAATGTTTTCGTGTCATTTTAAAGCTTAATGAATGACAGAGGTCGTTAGTTCCCAAGAATTGTGTATTTCCCAAGATAGATAAGACTTTTAGAATCACACTGCTTAGTTTCCATACCAGCGAATGACACCCAGGATCCACTTTGTTAGGGCTAGGACATCTGTGTAGACGGCTGGGCCTCGACACTCGTAGTGGCCAAAGCTCACGATTCCGAACTGAATGGTGCGGGTGATTTCACCTTTTGACATTTTGTGCACTAGTGGACCGCCAGAGTCACCATTGCACGTGTCCCCATTCGTCCGACCCGCACATATCTGACCCCATTCCACAGGAGTCTCTAAGTACCGCTCGCACTCGCCTGGGTCGAGCCTGGAAAGGATTATTGTCTGCAGGACAGTGGGGTAATTCGTGCGGTCGGTTTTGCCCCAGCCCGTGACCTCGAAGGTGGGACTTTCGGCGGCATGGGCGGGATTCAGGAGCAGGCAAACCGCTCTAATGTAAACTGCAAGGTAGATTGATATTATCATCCAGATGTGAAGATCATAAATGGTAGTAAGGTCAAATCTTGCAATTTTATATCCTATATTTGAAGTCTTTTCGATTCAGAAATTAAAAACAAAAATATATATTTTTTTTCAAAAAATGTATTAAAAAAAAACCGAAATGAAACCGAATGTATTTAAACACATCCATTCAGAGATATTTTTTCCTACCTTTATATTCGACAATTCTGTTAAGTTTAAGCAAACCTATGTCGTAGCTTTCGCCTGGTTCTTCGCCATACAATTTATGTTTCAAGATCAAGTCAACACCGTACTCCTCGCACGGAGCTATGCAAACACGCTCTCTGCTATCTTTCAATGCCATTGTATCGTATACCCCAAGGTAAACGATTCTGTATTAAAGGATATCTATGGGTTGAGGCACACCTTTAATTGGTAATCTGTACTTACTCTATATTGCGGAATTTCAGGCAGTGCGCTGCAGTCAGCACAAACCCTAGAAAAAGAGGATTTTCCGTAACTAAAGATTCGAAACATTTTCCGATTACCGACTTTTGGTGATTAACGTGCCGGCACAAGCTAGAGTCGAGTTAATTTTCAGATACGCCATCCACGGATTCGCGCCGATTTTTGCATTTTGACCTCCATGAATTCTACTTGTCGACGAGGGGATTCCGCAATTAGGTTCCAAAAACTGGGCTCCTAGTCCCTGTCTTAGACTTATAAGGCAGCAGAGAACAAAAATCCACTCTGATAGCATCTTTGCATTACGTTCATCGCCTCTGATTGTTCAGCTCCTATTAAATCGCACGCAAGAAACACTCATAACAACTAAATATATTTATTTCTTCTGGGAGGGTGCTAAGTATGTTCAAAAAATTTGATAATAATTTACCTATCAGTTTTGTATACCCTTGCAATGAGTACTACAATTTTCTCAGCGGCAATAGAAAATATCCGTTGATAGAAATGAAACTACAACGTATAGGTGTGATATTATTTAGTACACAATTATTACTTATAATTTATTTCTGTCTGTTGTTTATTTTTACTTTATGTGTAGAAACGATCTTAGCCCACAATACTTTCTTTATTGCTGCCTTTCTTGTTTATGTCTCAGTTTTAACGATTATATTTAAGAAATAATGGTGTGTCTTTGGAGTTTAATAAAAATAAATCGATTTATGGCCTTGTTAATATTTAAAATAGATTTTGTCCTTGAAAATACCGGTAAATAACTGTGATTCACCCACAGCAACACTCACATGTCTACCTCATCGAGGACGGGATTATGCTCTGGCTGGCGGTGATTGGGAACTCGACTGCGTTGACGCCGGAGCTGCTGGCGCTGTGCGACCACCTGCTGCCCATCATCGAGATGTCGTCGGAGAACTTGCGCACCGTGCTCCAGCTGATCCACGCCTACATCCTGCTGGACGCGCAGGCCTATCTGAGCCGCTACGGCGAGGGATTCGTGGCGTACTGCGTGCGCTCCTTCGAGGACATTCGAGTGGAGGGCATCATCGCCATGCTGCGCATCTTCGAGACGTGCCTGAAGACGGACGCGACGATGGGACTGCGGCTGGTGCGGCCCGCACTGCCCTTCGTCTTCCAGCAGGTGTACCTCAAGCAGGAGTACCCGATGACCATGGGATGGTACCTGACCATCGTGGCCCGCACCCTGCTGATCGACCAGTCCGTCTTCATGTCGGTGGTGCAGCAGCTGCCCCAGGCGGACGCCCTGGCCCGCATCCTGGACGTGTGGATCGAGATGTTCCCCATGGTGCCGGACACGCACGCCGAGAAGCGCAAGCTATTCTGCCTGGCCTTCGCCTCGATCTTCGGCAGCAACGAGCTGCTGCTGGCCCGCCTGCCCCACATCCTGCAGCTGGTGGACGAGACGCTGGGCGAGGTGATGGACAAGCAGTACGCTGCCGCCGAGGAGGGCGCCTCGAAGACCACGCCCCGCTTCTACGACTCGCTGGTCATCCACGACGAGCACGAGCTGGACGAACTGCAGCAGCAGCTGGGCAGTGGCGGCGGCGGCGGCGTCAGCGAGGACTTCCACGCCAAGGGCTTTCCGGCCAAGACCTACCACGACGACCGCCATCGGCAGCTGGTGCTCAAGGACCCCGTCTACAAGATCCCGCTCACCGAGTATCTCAAGTGGCAGCTGCAGTCGCTGCAGGCCCAGCTGGGCGCCCAGCGCTACGAGCAGCTTATGTGCTCCGTGGTGCCCGAGGTGCTGGAGCGGATCACCATGTACATAGAGCAGACGGTGCCCAAGGCGTGCGTGGTGTGCGCGGGATCCGGCTCTGGGTCGGGATCAGGATCGGGATCGGGAGCGACTGCGGACGACACGCTCGCCGAGCAGGTGGAGTCCGGCTGATCCCGGACAGCTGTGCTTCAAAAGCTTTCTACGCTAAGTTATTAATGTATTTTGTATTGAAATTATATATTTTTAATTGTTAAAAATCGTATGCTTTAGTTTCGGTGGCCTAGTCCACCGCTGGTCTCCGTTCCATCTTCCCCCGGAGCAGCGTTCGAATGGTTTCGTCCTTCTGCTGCAGCTTGTGGCGCAACTTGTCCAGCTCCTCGGCGTTCCGGGCGTGCAATCCCCGCAGCTGCGACTCCTTGTGCTGGACCAGCACTTCCAAACGGCGCACTGCCTCGTAGGTGTCCCGCACCTCCGCCTGCCCGGCCTCCAGCTTCTGAGCCCACTGCAAGGCCATCCTCAGACGAGCCTTTAGCCGATCCCGGCCATGTTTGGCCTTCTCCGTGCTGCGGACGAGTGAAGCCGCCCTGGCAGTGGTGGCCAGCAGCTGCTCTTTTAGCGAGGATTGCTCCCTGGCGTGCTCCTGGCGCAATTGCTCGAGCAGGGCCTTGCACTGAAGCAGTGCCTCCGATTCGGCGGGCACAGGGGCAGCAACTGGAGCAACTGGAACTGCTGCTGCTGCTGCTGCTGCTGGAGCACTTTTGAGAGCGGCCAATTCCGATTTGGTGCGGGCATAGGCCGCCTGCAAGTGGTCCATGTCGAGGAGCAGCGTCTGAGTGCGCTGCTCGTAGCAGTGCATCACCTCCACCAGTTTCTCCTTGGCCAAATCGGTCTTGCGGGTCTGGGCCTCCGCCTTGGAGCGGCACACGCCCAACTGTGCCTGCAGGCACACACGCTCCTCGCGCCAGCCGCCGAGATCGCGACGCAGTTGCTCCTGGGACTGCAGCTGGGGGCGACTGTGTTCAAATGGGTTTTTGGTAAGAAATTTGCATTAACCCGCTCACCAACTTGGTATTCTCCTCCAGAGCGCGCTTCAGTTCCCCTGTGAAGTGCTCAAACTCCGTGTTGAACTGAGCCAACAGGGCATCCTTGTCCCTCAGGGACTCGTCGTAGGCCTGCAGAAGTGGACCCAGCGTGTGCGTGGGCAATGGCAGACAGGATGCCGATGTAGAACTGGCTGCTTTGGCTGCTCCTCCTCCCGCAGGAAGATCCTCCCCGTGGCGCCTCTGATCCTGGTAGCTTTCGATCTGCACATTCAACCTGAAGACGAGCGTCTTCAGCATGTCCACATCGCTGGCCAGGGTGCGATTCTGGGCGAGAACTGTGCTCAGACGCTGGTTGAGTTGCTGGCAGCGAGAGCAACTGGCCACCTGCTGCTCCGTCTCGGCCAAACGCCGCTCCAGCTGGGCACTATCCTGGCGCAGCTGCTCGTTCTCCTTGGCAAACTGGTCATTGTACCGATGCAGAGTGGCCAACCGCTGGACGAGCTGCTCCAACTGCTGTTCCTTGGCCTGCAACTGTATCAGGTTTTAGGGGCAGGTCATCAGGGCATCATCGATTGGGTGCCTTACCAGCGTATGGAAGGAGCGCTCCTTCCGGCGATCCTTGTGCCCGTTGGTGCCCGAGTTGTCCTGCTGTCGCTGCTGCTTCAGTTCCGCCTCCACGCTGCGCGAACGACGGTTAAAGTTGCCCGACAGGGTCTGAAGGACCTTCCGGTTCCGCTTGGGCTGCTGCTTTTGCTCCTCCGGATCCGGCTGATCCAAGTCCGTGATCATCATATTCCGCGTGCTCATTGTGACAGCTGTGCTCGCTCCAGTCCTGACACTTTCTGCCCGGACTGCTTGTAAACAAAGCCGAAACCACACCCCTTCCAGAAACCCGTGTCCTGGCCGCGTTGCCATGGCTTCCGGTCGGGTGTTTGACCCTGTTTTTCAGCCACCCTCTTCCGGAACGGGAAACCCGCCCCCACACAAGAACCTGTATCGATACCTCTTTTGGAAGAAAATTACTCACCTGTCTAAGGATTGGAAACAATAATATGACTTATGGGGATACCAGCACCGAGGTACTCTATTTGAAATTTCATTACTTTTTTTTTATAAATAATATTTATTTTGAAATAATTTTCAGTACTTAGTACTTTCTACTATAAGGTACTTCACTCCCTTAAAACGTTCAACCATTTCAAATTGTAACTAATTTGTTGTACTTATTACTAGTCAGTGAAAGTAAGGATATCCCATCGCTATGTGGTTTTTCATCGTTTAAGTAAAATTACTTTCCAGTGAAATCCACTTTCTAATCTTAATATACCAAATCCAATTCCTCGTTTAGGGTATTTTCGAGAGCGTGAGATGGCTGATGTGTCTGTTTTATGGGGAATTCAAGTGTTCACTGATAACATCGTTTTTATACAACAATTTTTTATACATTATCAGAAATTGTGCATTAATAACAATTGTGTGAGTCTTAAGCTATTTAATATAAAATATATAGTATATATATATACATATATCTAGAACATCTTTTGACCTCAATTATTATTTTTATGAGTCTGTGATTTGATAAGGTTCGCTTTTAATCATTCAAAAACATTCGTGCTTGTCATATTTTTGCTGAATTCGCTGTTTTATTGAAGTAATATTGAAAATCGTGTGTTTATTAAATTACTCATTTAAAGACATTTAAAAATGTGTGTTTTTATAATTATGAATTGTCATCTGCTTTTATAAAAAAGTGTCTGTCAGGGTATTTAAGCGTTGTGTTTCTTCGACAATTGGTCCGTTTCAGAGATAATCTGTAAATATATTATGCGGATTGGCCGTCGCGCTGTTCATCAGTTGTCGATGAGTCCGTTTAGATGAGGGGCGTTATAGTAGCGATCGCAGCACTCGCCATCTGGGTTTTCGGCCTTTCGGTCACTGCTGAATATTTGGAAGATTACTGCGGCTATGCTGGCGGCGTCACCCTAAGAGTTGCAGGTGGTCAGGACGCGATAATAAATTCAAACCCATGGATGGCCTTTATTCACTCCTCCACTGAACTAATATGTGGAGGATCCCTCATCACCCGCCGTAAGTATTTGTGGCTTAAGGTTTTCTTATCGATCGATAATTACTGAGATTCTACCGACAGGTTTTGTCCTCACTGCAGCGCACTGTGTTAATGAAGGAATGGCAGTGTAAGTATGTTCTTATTTAGGAAAATTAAAAAAAACAATGACTAAAAAAATTGTAATAAAGAAGATGATAAGATTTATAATCGAAAGCTCATTAAATAAATTTAGGAATTGTAGCTTATTTATTTATTCTTGTTTTAAAGACAACTTGCAGTTTATGTTATAAAAAAATTTAAAAATGTAATAAAACTTTTCAAGATAATAAAATAAGCAAATTTTTAACGAAAACAACGAATGCTTTTAAAATGTTTTCAGTCTTAAAGACCTCTAGTTTCAGTTTAGGAGTAGTGAAACTTATAATTCTATCTACATATGATTTGATTTGAACAGAAAGGTTCGCCTTGGAGAGTACGATGAAACCACCACAGTGGACTGCGTTAATGAAGACTGCATACCGGAAACCGAGGAGTTCAATGTAGACATGGGCATCCGGCACGGAAAGTTTTCTGAGGAGGGAAACCTGCACGACATCGCTCTCCTTCGCCTTGATCGAGCGGTCACGTATAAAAGTGGGCTTGGAGAGTCAACACTTTTGTGCAACAATACTAATGAATTTCTTGCTTGCAGGACACATTAAGCCCATCTGCATCATCCTGGACACCTCGGAGAAGCCCGCTTTCGAGAGACTTGAGTGGTTTGTGGCCATGGGCTGGGGCGAGACCAAATCGAACCGAAAGAAGGGTCCACTCAAGACCGTGGTTCTGCAGCGTTTCAATAACGAGCGCTGCTGGGAATCTTTCACCAGGCTGGTGCACGAGAACCAATTCTGTGCCGGCAGCCGAGAAGGCGATACCTGCAACGGTGACTCCGGCGGACCGCTCATCCGGAACGTGACCCACATGGGCATGGTCCGAGCCGCCCAGTTCGGAGTGGTCAGCTATGGGAGCAGGGACTGCACTGGCATCGGGGTCTACACGTCCGTGATGCACTACGCCGATTGGATCGCCACCGTGGTGAGGATGAACACCGATACGGCGGCACCAAGAATGCCGAGAACTTAATAGCCAAGTATTTTTAACAATTACTGTGAAAAGGGTTTGGATCACTGGATCATTACAAAAACTTTTCTTACCAGTCAAAATCTCATTGTTTAATTCACTAAGGAACTCCCTTGAGTTACAAAGAGAAACATTTTCAATTGTGGCATTAGTGTTAGAAGAGGTCTATGGCTTGCACCTCTTTTAAGAGATTGCTGCTGTTTTTGTAGTCTCCACAACAACAACAGAATTTCTTCCTGTGTGTTCCATAGAATTCCATCGAATTGCATCGCTGATAAGGTTAGCTTGAATCTCATTTAACGAGTAACGTCAGCTGCAATGAGTTCAGTAGCCAGGAATCCGTTGAAATGATGACTTTATCGGCATGGCTAGTCATCGTCATCTGCCTGATCCTCCAGCAGCAGGAGGTGATCGGTTCCTACTTCCTGTACCCGAACTGCGGGTTGTCCTATGAGTCCCATGTGTCTTCTAGAATAGTTCGCGGAACGGAAGCGAGAATTAAGTCAGCTCCTTTTATGGCGTATTTGGTCTTAAACTCCAGCCTCCATTGTGGCGGAACGATCATTAGCCAAAGTTTGTATTTTGAATGCCCTTCATTGTCATTTTTGTGGACTAAATTTGATCTTTCTCCCTTTTCAGGATACATCCTTACGGCCGCTCACTGCATGGTTCCCCAACTGTAAGTATCCCTCTTGCGAAATAAAGAACCCTTCTTGGTATGTTTGCTTTCATTCAGAAAGGTTCGCCTGGGAGAGCACGATAGTACCACGAATCCCGACTGTCAGCGGGGGACTTGCAATCCTCCTGCTGAGGAGTTCGACATCCAGGCGGCAACCAAACACCGAGCCTTCGGTGCAGCCTTAACCCACGACATAGCTCTGCTCAAACTGACCAGAAACATCGTGTTCAATGGTGGGTATGACACTAATACGTGTATCGAATGCTTTTAACTACCCGGCTCCCCAGTTCACATCCAACCCATCTGCCTGCTCCTCAACCCGGCGGCCACTCCCATTGCGACCGAGTTGCAGGCCTTTGGGTGGGGCAGAACCGCCACCCAGCACTCCTCCACCGTGCTCCAGACCACGAGGCTAGCCTGGTACGCCAATAGCTACTGCCAAAGAAGGCTTCCGCTGCTCCCAGTCACCCAGAATCAGATGTGCGTGGGGCTCCTGGGTTCGGACACCTGCAAGGGCGACTCCGGGGGTCCATTGGTGGTCAAGGTGAACTACGACGGACATGCCCGAAACCTGCAGCTGGGCATTGTGAGTTACGGCGAGGATTATTGCCAAAGTCCGGGAGTCTATACATTTGTGCCAAACTACATTCAATGGATCCAACAAGCTATGCAGAGATTTGGATATTAGCTAAAATAATTATTGATTTATATTTTGTATGACACAATTCTTTTGAAAGCAATCGTGGTATGCTTTTTCGATCCTATTGAGATCTATATTCTTATGCAATCAGTGCTGGCTGAACACGTATGCGAAGGTATAGTTCCCATCTGTTAGTTAGTTAGTTAATTAGCGATTTCAACGATCGGCTATTTGGTGTGTGTTTTACTTCAAGTCCAAGCCTTTGTCCTTGAGTTACATAAATGTATAGTTTTTAAGTAGAAAGGTCGCCAATCTTTGATACATAATGAATGTTTTAACAGTTATAAGTCCTGACTACTATTATCTTGTAAACAAAATAATTTGTAAACACATGAGTATCAGAAAAGAAGTTAAAGTAATGCAGTTCCAAGGAATTGCAGCTTGCTATTTGTGAGCTGATAAGCACAGCTTCGTGCTGGTATTTAACCAGAACCGCCAGTTGCAATGAGTTCAGTAACTGAGAAATCGTCTCTCGAAATGCTAACTTTATCGGCGGGGATTGTTATTGGTGTCTGTCTGATCCTCCAACAGCAGAAGACGGAGGCAGCCCACTTCCTGAACCCCATCTGCGGGGTATCCTATGAGTCCTATTTGGGGACCAGGATCACGAACGGAAAAGAAGCAGTTCTTAGATCGGCACCGTTTATGGCGTACTTAACTCACAACAACAAGTTTCATGGCGGTGGATCGATCATCAGCTCAAGTTCGTAACCTAAAATTATAACAGTATTTATTATCGTGTGCTGATTGGGTATCATTATGCAATTTTAGGATACATTCTAACGGCCGCCCACTGCCTTTTGAGAAATCTGTAAGTACACATCCATTAAGAAAAGCCTTCTTTGCATTGCTTTCCCTTCTGCGATTCAGGAAGGTGCGCCTAGGAGAACACGATATCACAACGATTCGGGACTGTCAGGGATCTATTTGCAATCCAGCATCAGAGGAATACGACATTATAGCTGCATTCAGGCATCGGCACTTCAATAACATAACTTTGGCACACGACATAGGTCTACTCAAACTACACAGAAGCATCAATTTTAATGGTGGGTTGCATATTGAATTCGTTTAGATGCATGAAAAATTAGTTATAGGTGAAAGTTTATATATTCTTGGTCAAGACAAAAAGCCAGTAGGGAATATTTTTACTGAAATTAGTTAGCTGAGAAAATGGTACCTAAAAGACGGGGCACTCGACTAGAGCGTTCGTTCCTTCTTGTTTGCTAATAGGTAATCCATTCCCCAGAACACATCCAGCCTATATGCCTGCTTCTTAATCCGGCAAGTGCGAGTTATGTGCGTGAGTTCCAGGCCTTCGGCTGGGGATTAACCACATTTAACCAGCATGCCACTGTGCTCCAGACCACGGTGCTCACCCGATATGACAGCAACTACTGCCGAAGGGCCCTGCTAGCGCCAGTCACGGATAACCAGATTTGCGCAGGGTTTGACGATACGGACACCTGTGAGGGTGACTCCGGCGGACCGCTGGTGACCAAACTGGACATCGACGGAGTCAACCGCTACGTGCAGCTGGGCATCGTGAGCTTCGGCCCAACGCAGTGCAGGAGTCCAGCCATCTACACGTATGTGCCGAATTACATTCGGTGGATCCAGCAGACGATGCGGGCACATGATTCTATCCATTAAATTGAATGTGGCAAAAAAATCTTAAAATTGCTTATAAGTATAGTTGGACTTGGTCATGTTTTAATTTAAAAAACAAAAATAAACCGTTTAATGCAGACATTTTTTCAAATCTGCAGTAACTCTAAGTTCAATAAGGTGAAAAGGAAATAAACCAATAATATTACAATATGTCAATATGTCTCCCTTGTAACATTCTACTGTGTTGTTTAAAGAATTCCAGCAAATATGCCAATGTGTGTACTGTATTTTTTGTATAATGATTTAATGTTTTCAATTGAATCAGCAGACTAACCTCTGGGGGGTCAGCTTGAGACTGATAAAGATTCAAGATTTGCAAGGCATTCGGAGCTATAAGAATTTCAGTATGTACGCGTTGTTTAACTAGCAATGAACACCACATTTACTGCTTTCGCGGTGCTGGCCAGCCTGCTCCTTATCTTTACAAAATGCGAGTCCGCAGTGGATCCCATGTTGCTCGAGAATGACTGCGCACTGACTAGTTCCTCCAACGAAGTGGGTCCCTGGACAGCTCTTTTGCATGAGAATGATAAAGTCTTTTGTGCCGGAACTCTGATCACTAAAAGTATGTATGCAACGGACATATTTATGAATAGTAAAAAATACATATACAATTTTGTAGGGTTTATTTTGACCGCTGCGCAATGTGTTAGAGTTAACACGACCGTGTAAGTTTTAAAACATTTTTAATTTTCGTTGTTTTGTTCTGCTATAAGATTTCTTAAACGTAAAAAAAAAAAATTCTTAATTTTATGAAAAATGTATTAGTTTTAGAAATTTTTTCTTAATTTAAAGAGTAATTTTTGCAGGTCATTTTTTGTTTAGGTAATTTTTGCCAAATATATTTGGTAAGCACCGTTAAACAATGACATTTTTCTTAAAATAAAGGATTTTTTTTTAATGTAGTGAAACAAATTTTTAAATAAAAAAAGTATAATGGGCAAAAAAATCGAACTAGGTTTCGTTTGATTCCTACATTTGCAAATCTAAAAGCTAAGCATCTAAATAAACATATTTATTTCTGAAGTCTTATTGATAAGCTCAGCCTACTAATTTTCACTATTTCAATATTTACTTTAAAACTTTAAAAATAATTAATAAAAAAATGTGTTTTCTAAAAAATATTTATATGATTTGTTCCTTGCAGATTAGTTCGATTGGGAGAGTTTGGCAGATATTATAATGACTTCCCAGAAGACCATAAGGTGGAGCTTTCTCTTAGGTACCGCTTCTTTGACAGCAATTCGGATGGCAATGACATCGCCCTGCTGAAATTGACCAAAGATGTGGTTTTTAAAAGTGGGTTTTAATTGAAAACACATGATTTTGTGGCAATTTGCTGACTGCAAGTTCTCTTTTCAGATTACATTAAACCGGTCTGCATTAATAGGAACCCGAACCAGCGTCCTCTTGGCGAATATTTTGTTGGATATGCCTGGACGGATAACCGGGATGAGTACTACACAGCAAACCTTACTACTATTACCATTGGGATGTATCATGAGGTTAGGAGGCAATGCGATCAGTTTGACATCTATACCCAATTCTGCGCTGGCCCCGTGAATAAACAAGAATCCTGCGATGGAATGGCTGGCTCAGCCCTGATAAAACTCATGGAAGATTCAAGCCAGCCGAGCCGGGCCTTTCAGTTTGGCATCTCGACTTCGGATGCAATGGATTGCCAGGGAACGCAGGGTTACACCAATGTGACGAAGTTCTACTCGTGGATTCAGGATAATGTGATCCTTTTCGAGCGTTCAGGATATAAACCAAAAAAAAGCTTTATTGCAAGTGATTACATTAAGGTCTACTGACACAAAGCAATACTTTCGGTACGAAAACTTAAGTGAATACCTACAAAAATACACGTTTCCTTTTCAAGAATTAATATAAATGCTTTTTATTCTTGGAAATTTTAAACGTAAATATATTAAAAGAATCATACAAGTATTAAGAAACAGATAGCCATTGAGAGAGCAGTTCAGATGCGTTTGTATCAGTTATCACTAACTAACATTAACAATAAATGCGCCTGTCCGAAAACACATTAAATATGTATATATTGCGAAAGAAGCCGTAGCGATAAGAGTCTCAACAGATTCTACAATATGTTGTTCTCGACTTGGTAGTATCAGTATGTGAGAATGATTTGTCGCGAACTGAAGAGGGTAATCGTTGGGGTCGCAGTAATCTCCTGCCTGTGGCTCCAGGTTCAGGGAAATGGTCCCATTCTCCTGGAGGAGAATTGCGGAGTAGTGCATCAATTCGCACAAAGAATTGTGAATGGCGTACCTGCAGGGTTGGGAGCTTATCCATGGATGGCCTTTCTGCACACGCCCACCCACTTTAAATGCGCCGGGTCTCTTATCAACAACAGTTCGTTTGAATATATTTTACTTATTTATTTTCTCACAGACAATGATTACCTACCTTGCAGGGTTCGTTTTGACGGCCGCTCATTGTTTAAAGGAGGACGCTTTGGAATTGTAAGTTGAGGTTTCAAATGGAAATCTCTGGAAGTTACAAATCGCAGATGGAAACTCTGTAGTTTCTATTCCAATGTACAATTTTTGGACAGAGGGATAACTAGTGTGGTTTCTTTCAGAATTGTTCGTCTGGGCGAGTATAACAGAGACACAAGGATCGACTGTGCGAACCACTACTGCCAGGATGCCGCCCAGGAGTACGGAGTGGCCTGGGCCATCAAGCACAAGTTATTCAATGAGGAGGACCTGTCCCACGACATCGCTGTGCTGATGGTCGACAGGAATGTGGAGTACTTACGTGGGTAGAGTGGTTGCCCCAAGGGAAGTTTGTTTTAATCGAGATGATTTCACCCACAGCTCACATCCGGCCCATCTGCATTTTCCTGGATGAGCGAGTGAAGACGCAGGTGGATGGGTTCAAATGGTTTACGGCCAGCGGTTGGGGCCTCACCTCCGGGGAGCCCAATGCCCAGACGAGTCGCATTCTTCGTGAGCTGAGGATCAACCGGCGACCCACTGAGGATTGCATTAGAGCGCTGAGTCAACGCCTGATTCCCGAGCAGATATGCGCCGGCAACGATGCAAGTAACTTATGCCGAGGCGACTCCGGTGGTCCGCAGGGCAGGGTCTTCAAATACAATGGCACAGAGCGGTTCACTCAGCTGGGCATCGCCAGCTACACGACTCCCGGGTGCGTCAATGTCAGCGTTCTCACGGACGTCATCAGCTACGGCAAATGGATCAAACGGGTGGTGCAGCATTACACACCCACGAACGAGATGTAGGAGTCTTCAACTTTTCCCTTATTTACCAATTCTACACTATATATAAATTAAATAGAAACTGTTTTAAACCTTATATTATATTTTCCAAGTTAATTATAATAATATATGACATGGATTTTAATATTACGAATCAATAGTAATACATATATTTTTAGAATTTCATATATGTTATGTTAATCAAATGTAAATGGATAATCATGGACTTAATAATGACTCACTTGGCCATAAAAATCATCATAACTTCACAGCTGTTCAACATATTCGCATAAAAATCGAAATTGTGTTATGCAAGGGTGTATTAACTTCGGCTTGCCGAAGCGAGTTTCCTTTCTTGTTTTTATAATTATTATAGAGTCCATGATAACTTTAGCATTCCATTTACTGGGATCGTATTGTTTGTATAGACGAACAGACGATAAGGCCAGCGGAATGGCTGAATCTCGTATACCTTTGATCTCTTGGATTTCCGCCGAATGTATATACATAGGTATTTCCCTGAATGTTCCAGAGATAAGCTTAGCTTCAAAGGCAAATACACTTGCGCAAAAGACTCAGTATCGGAGTAGGACTTGTCGCGCAATGAAGAGCTACATCGCCGGGCTCTCTATAATCTGTAGCCTATGGCTCCAAGGATCTCATTCAATGCTTCTGGAGGAGGATTGCGGAGCTCATATAGGCGCGAGAATAAGTAACGGCGTGAATGCAGGACTGGCTAGACACCCATGGATGGCTTATCTGCATACGCTCGGCGAGTTCAAATGCGCCGGAACACTTGTCAACCACTGTTTGTTTTTAAACTAGACGTTTGCTAAAAAGATAGTGAATAGTTCCATTTCAGGGTTCGTCCTAACGGCGGCTCAATGCATCCCCGATGACGTGAATATGTAAGATAGCCTGCTATGATGCATTAAAAAAAATTCTGTATTTAATATGTATATTTCAGAAAGGTTCGCCTGGGCGAGTACAACAGGGAAACCAAGAAGGACTGCTTGCTCCATAGATGCACCGGACCTGCTCAGGATTATGATGTGGACATGGCCTTTAGGCATTCGTATTACAAAGCGGACCAGCACGCCAACGACATTGGGATGCTGCGACTGGGGAAAAGGGTGGAGTACCTTGGTGGGTCAGGTGAGAGCCGCAGTGGTTGTTCCTCATAATCGAGATCTCCCTTCCACCTGCAGTTTACATCCGTCCAATCTGCTTTTTCGTGAACGAGAAGGCGAAGTCAGTGGTGAATGAGGTCACCTGGTTCACGGCCACCGGATGGGGCAAAACAGCCGCGGGCGAAAATGCCAACACGAGTTCGATCCTCCAGGAACTGAAAATCAACCGCCGACCCAAGGAGCTATGCTCCGGCATCTTTGGCCGAGAATTGACCTCCGAACAGATCTGCGCTGGCAACGATGACAGCAACCTCTGCAACGGCGACAATGGCGGTCCGCAGATTCGGCTAATGAAGTACCGGAACGAGTACCGCTTCGTCCAGCTGGGAATCGCCACCTGGATGAACAATCAGTGCCAAAACGCCAGCGTCATCACGGATCTCATGAGCCACGGCGACTGGATCAAGCGGGTGGTGAGACAGTTTGGACCTCCGGGTGATGTGCTGCGGCGTTTAATAAACCAAAAAAACAGTGAAGATGAACTGCCGATATTCCAAGAGTCGATTACAACGTAAGCAAGAAGACTACAACATTATTTCAATGGTTAATCAAATAATACATTTATGTATGTGAAATGCTTAATAAATGCAAATACACTGCGCGAATAATTGGCATAGAACATGGTCAAGCTCAAAGAGAACTTGAAAATTTCCAAGTCGTACAATTTGTTTCGAGTTCAAAGATCATAAATAAATTTTAATATTCTTTTAATTCCAAAAACAAATAAAATAATATTACTGTATTTACTAAAATAAAACATTTAATGTCATTTTAATTTCGTATTTCTTTCTATGGAATTTTTCGATATTGACTAATTTTCGTTTAAAACACTGAAATGCTTGGCTGCCTTTTATTAGCTAGAAATAGCGGTATATAGTATGGGATGAAAACCAAGCTAAGCGCTTTGTAATGTAAAATGAGTTTACTTTACACGTAGAAAATAAATATTGGCGGTGCCTACAAATTACAAACTTAAATTAAAAAATGAAATTATAAAAATATTAGAGTACATTCAGAAGAACATTTTATTAAATTTTTTTATAGTTAACAGTACAAATTAAAGAATTAAATAAAACACTTTTATTTAACCTATCTAATCGTAAAACGTTAGAAACATAATATGATTAATTCAGATAAATTTTAATTCTGTTTTCTTTTGTGCAGTAAAAACATTCATAGGGAATTGTACTAGGTATTCCGCTTATAAAATTATGCCAAACCAACTTGATCGTTCTAAAAACCAGTTTGCACAAATAACAAAGAATTAGACACACACTTGTTCCAATAACAAAAACGTGAGTGCGGTGATTAGCAAAGGTCAGCTTCTAAATTGTGTCAGGGATAAAGAAAGATATTTTTGCTGGAGTCGAGTCATGTTGGCCCACACGTGCTTATAAAAGATATATTTTTATACCCTTGCAGAGGGTATTATAATTTCAGTCAGAAGTTTGCAACGCAGTGAAGGAGCCATCTCCGACCCTATAAAGTATATATATTCTTGATCAGCATCACTAGGCGAGTCGATCTAGCAATGTCCGTCTGTCCGTCCGTCTGTCCGTCTGTCCGTCTGTCCGTCCGTTTATATGCAAACTAGTCTCTCAGTTTTAAAGCTATCTGCATGAAACTTTCCCAAAAGTTGTCTTTCTATTGCAGGTAGTATATAAGTCGGAACGAGCCGGATCGGACGACTATAGCATATAGCTCCCATAGGAACAATCGGAAAAATAAAGGAAAAAAATTATAACTTTGCTGTTTTTTAATTTTTTGTTTAGTTCTTCGACATTTAGTAATGGTTAAATATTTCCGATTTACGGTTTAAATTTCATCAAAATCGGACGACTATAGCATATAGCTCCCATAGGAACAATCGGAAAAATAAATGAAAAAAAATTATAACTTTTCTGTTTTTTAATGTTTTGTTTAGTTCTTCGACATTTAGTAATGGTTAAATATTTTCGATTTACGGTTTAAATTTCATCAAAGTCGGACGACTATATCATATAGCTCCCATAGGAACAATCGGAGAAATAAATGAAAAAAAATTATAACTTTTCTGTTTTTTAATTTTTTGTTTAGTTCTTCGACATATGGCAATGTTTAATTATTTCAGAATTATGGTTTAAATTTTATCAAAATCGGACGTCTATATCATATAGCTCCCATAGAACTAATAAAAATATATAAAATAACTATCTAATAATTGAGCTGCAAATCATCATAGCTTCACTGTTTTTCAGTATATACTGAAGTAAATCATAATTTAAATGTTTTCAAAAGTATTTAATTCATGCAATAGCTGCAAGGGTATATGAACTTCGGCTTGCCGAAGTTTGCTTTCTTTCTTGTTTATAAATAATCTCGGATCGTTTGACTTGCTAATCGATTTTTGTAGGCACCTCCCGATCTCAGACCATATGGGAGTTGACTCAGTGCCGATGAGCGTGCACATCGGCAAGTACTACAATACTCGTTCGACTTATGGGGTAACCACAAGTTTTTAATTTAAAACACAAATATATTCGAGCACTAACACAACAGAAAATATATTCATAGTTTATGTGATTAAGGTTTAGAGTTATAAACTATATATACAAGGTAATACTATTTTACGAGGGGAAGAGTTTTAAAGAACTTCTATTTCTACTGCCGCTTTCGCAGTGTATACTGATAATGTTATTTTTGCAGTGCGTCGATATGACGATAAGTCGTCGAACCGGCAACAAACGCAACCGGTTATTCTGGCGCATTATCGAGCGGCTTGGTGGCAGCGGAATAGATAGCATTGTAAATCCGTATTCAGAGATTCCGGCGGAGTCACTGCATGGTGTGTCTTGGATGGATGTAGTGGGATCCGGCATTGTTGTCCTCCCGGTAAATGGCGGTCATCAGGAGCAGCAGGCTGCCGAGCATGAGAGCCCTGAGGGCTGATCCCACAAATCGAATGTTCTCCATATTCTGAGCTTGGTTCTGACTTGCCAATTAACAATCTTTGCGCGACTGGCTTTGAAACGAGACTGAGAACTCGGCCTGATAGCGGCCGGAATTTATTGCAGCCCCGCGACGGCGACGTATTTTCCCCCAGCAGGTGGTCGGATTATGGGTTCGTCGGAGTGGGGTAGTTTCCCAGTCGAAGGTAATGATTGGTAATGCCCCGATCCGCTGGCGTCACGCCTGCCCCACTCCACACAGCCCTCTTTACGATGCCACAAAAGTATGTACATATGACTGCATTCTGAAGTCTCAGAACAAAACGAAAGCCCCTCCAAACCGCGATCGTTGACTGGCTTGGCTATAATGAATTCAACTAACACATTTTGGCATCGTCTACGTGCTAAGATTGCAAATCTGAAGAAATTCGCTTTAAAGACAAGGCGGCTGCGTAATTTGTTAGATCATTGCTCTTTAGAACTGGCAGAGACTGGACTCGAGGAATCTGAGTGAAACGTTTGAAGTCGGGATCATTTGGATACACACACTGTATTCAACACTTACCGCACATATCGCTGAAACTTGGGACTATTGCAAAGTTGAGTGCAGCAGCGCCACATATTCCGCGAGATCTTTCGATACAGAGAAATTGTATTCATGGAGAGGTTTTGAGAGATGCGGATAGGATTTAGGGCCCAGTGCAGGGGCAAGTCCCGCTCGACGTTCTGCAAATGCGGCATCCTTCGAAGAGTTTTCACAGCAGACTGAGGACGAAAGAAATAATGTGCTCAGGTAGCCCAAGCAGCTGCATTCTTTTCCCGCCAAAAATGGCGAGGGATAGATCATGTCGTGGGAACGGGACAGGGTGGCGAATCAGCTCTAGTTACCTACAGTTCACAATTCTAGGCTAAAAGAATCACTGAGAAAAAATGATACTTGCATGGTAAAAACTAATTAGCAGTCCCTTTCATAAAGCAAACTAAATAAATTGATTCTAACAACTTGAGTTCATCAGTTACTTGCAATTTATTTTAATATGCTAGTTTTTATTTTTGTACATTTAAGGTTATCGCTCGGGTATTTAGGAATAAATAGCAGCACCTGAGTTATTATATGTTTCACTATAGACCCACTAGAGCCTTATAAACAATACTCTTAGGTCAGACTGTCTGGGTTTCCACGCTGAGGGCATTCACCAGTTGAGTGATCCTTTGTGCCCTCGTTAGTTTCCAAGATACGAAGGATAGCGCGGTTATGAAGAAGCCAATTGCTGGAAAACGGAATCTTAGACTGGGTATTGACCACTAAAACACTTTTACTCACCCATCAGCAATATGGCCTCGGAGGTCTCATCCTGCCAGGCTTTCGAAACCACACAGAGCAGAATAAAACCACTTAGAAGACAAAAGGATCCCACAACGACGGCCAGAGTTATGAGTATTGTCACTGGGTCATTCAGCGGTCCGTAGTCGAAGAGTGTTCGGCAAAGGGACGGCTTTCGGGGCAGGGAAGTACCACTGTTGGAGAATAAATATCTAAATTTGATTTCTTTGAACTCCTACTACTCTACTAACCAGGCTTGTGAATAGGTGGGAAGAATGGGAACCGCTCTGCACTCCATGGCGCTCCTCAACAAACTAAAGTTCTGGCTCCAGACTTCTGATTTTGGGTGGCTGTCGGGGCCCTACTTCTCCACATTCTAAATTTAGGCCTTAGACGACGGCTGGCGATCGCAGACGCGTGTCTTGAGTCGGAAAAAGGGAGCCCTGGCTATTTATAGCTGCCTAGGAAATGGTTCGATCTAGCGGAACTAGCGGACTAACATATGCACATCAGCAGCCACAATGCATCTATTTTTGTCTTTAGTTCCTGCCTTCAATGGAGCACTGAGTTCAATGATCCGCATTTGAGCTGAAGGAATCGAGGGGCCTGGGACGTCTTGTAATGCAATAAATCAACTTCATTACTGGCGTGGCAAAAGTCGGGGGCGAACAAGTGCGAATCATTAACTCGATGTCTCGAAGTTCACGTTTCGCATGTGCCAAGGTAGCGTTGACAACCGACACGCACAGTTTTCCCCAGTAATTTCCTTCGCATTTTCCCCATCTCTCCGGCGTAGTTATAGAAATATACTTGGCTGCTGCATTCAAGCGTGCTGTAAATTATGCAAAATAACGACGTCAAAGTTTCAATATAATGAAGCCAACAGGGTGGTGGTTGGAGCCGTAGGATGGGGATTATTATAGTATGAAATTTCATCCCTAATGCCTGTGTGCCATTAAGCCAAATGAAAAACAGAAAGGAAGACCTACAAAATATTATCCACCGAAATGTGTAAAATATGTAATGTATTTGTAAATATTTTTTAATTAAGTTTTTTTAAAAGTGCAATGTAATATGGATTGAATAATTTGGTTCGCATTGAAGATTATTTTAAATTTAAAATTGGTTTATTATTAATTGTTAAGTAATTCGAGTAAATGGTAAACAAAATTTTGTATCCTAAGGAAATCAACGTTTCCAGGAATTTTTCCCGCGTTTAAAGTCGTGTGAGGCTTATGTGACCTTCTGTTTTCACTGGACCAACACTCAATCACTGCCCCCAAACCCTTAAAGACATAAAAATCAAATCGAAGCCGTCGCCATAAACAATTATGAACTTTGTTGCACATTGTTGCCCACACATGGCCACACGGATCCTGCTTCTTGTCGTCGCCTTGGTTACATTGTAAAACGTTTTATTGTCGCCGCCAGCTGGCGACGATTTGTTGGCAGCAGCGCACCGCTATCAAGCGGCCACCCGCCCAACCGCTCAGCCTCCCACTGAACCCACCGAACCCACCAGAGGTGACAATTTGTCCGTTTTATGCCATTTTTTAAACGCTCTCAGCGAATAAGGGGAGCCTCTTACTAAGAAATTATGTTTTTTTATTAAAATATCTTACATTAAAACTCCAGAATGCTTGTTTTGAGGGCAATCGCATTTACTAATGTTATTCAATAAATGTTGTTTATTCATAAATTTTGTTGGTATTTGTTAACCAAATCAAATCACTTAGAAATAATAATAAATTACAACACATGATAATAACATCCTAACTTATGTTAATATGACTTTTCTTCCTTGTAGGCTAGTAACAATCAGTTCACAATTATTACTATAATTATACGTATTAGTTAAATGCTGCTTTAAAATTTTATTGACAGGACTTATAAAAAAAATTCTTCATGACAAACAAAAATGATTTTTCAAGTATTTAATACACATTTACTACTTCATTTAAGTAGCTAAAAAAATGTTGCTAAAAAAATTTGTAGTCAGAGCTTAATAATGTGAACATGTTTCATTCGAGGTAACAAAATTTTTTTTATAAAAATCTAATTGTAGCTGCAACACTCAATAAAATCAAGTTACTTGTTTTATTTTTTAAGTATTTAATAAAATGATTGCTCATCACTGGGGACCAGCAAATACACCCCAAAAATGCGATCCCAAGGTGCGAGCCGGCGGCACGACGACAACTGTTATGCTTATCGGATGCTTTCTGAATAAGAATAAGAATCCGGATGCGGATGCGGGATGGGGATGTGGCTGTGGATGTGGATGTGAATGTGGACGTGGATGCGAGTGCGGGTACGGATTCCAGGAGCTGCGGCAAATTGCTGCTGATTGTCAGGTTCAGGCGTCGTTGCGTAAATAACTGAAAGCGGACCGAGGTGCCAACTGGCTTTGAGCCGGGCCCAAAAGTTTGGCCAGGACATTAGACGGGGATGGCCAAACTTCGGACCGATTAACTTGGCAGTCAGAGTTGGGGATCTGGAAATCTTATCGCCGCACAAGAGCCCGTTCCGTTTTAGTGCCGCAATCAGCGCTGTTCACTTGCAATGGCCGTGGCAGGACAAATATTTTACTTTTACTCTTTTTTCTCCCATCTCCGCTGCTCACTTCAACAGTGCGCCCACTCGCCCAAAGTTTAGCTCTCTAATGCGCTGCGAAAGTGTGCCAAAGTCGCTGACAGAGAAATCAAACACAAGGCTATATATATGGCCAAACGGCGGAGAAGGACCGACACAGAAGGTCCGAGGAAAGGATGCACAAAGTTAAAATTAAATTAGCGTTTTTTTCAGACTCCGCAGGGTAGCTCTGGGCTAAGAGAGGTCCGGTCAATCGGGGCCACAGAGCAAGGAGTCCAAGGGCACCCGATTCCCTGGGGATTACAGGGTATCCGCAGGTCGAATCCGCATCTTTCCGGCTAACAAGGTATTCGCATCCTGGTGCCGCTGTCTGTCACTGGCTGCTACTTAGCCAAATTAAAATTGCAGAGCACTTTTTATACGCTAACTGAGGTCATAGCTACTTGAACTGCTACTTGATTAAAAATATTTATTTAATATTTTTAATGTTAAGAATATTATATTATTATTTAGAAATTAAATGTACAGTTGCTTAGAAAATCTTATAAGTATTAAATTAAGGAATTTTAAAAATTGTATCTCTAAAATACTATATGAGGCAAGTATTTTGAAAAATGTGTTATGATTCATTTCTCAAACTTCAGTATAAATTATAAATATTACGCGAAGGAGTTAAGCTGTGAGTATACAAACGAATAGAATTTTCTGTGGTTTCTGAACTGATCAATAATTAATATATCGTGTTTATATATAGAATGCATTACAAATTTGTCAGAGCATAACACATTCGACTTGCGAACGCAACAGTTTTGTTTCCGTTTCGTTTTTAGTGTCCTTTTAGCGTTTCGCATTTATGCTTGTTTAAGCAAACGCCGTGTTATCGTCCGGATCCGGATCCGGATTCGTGTCCGTTCTGTGTCCATGTCCGTGTCCGAGTCCAGTCGAAAGGATAATGCGCGTAATTGTTGTCCGTGCCCGGCAGTTGGCGCTGAAGGAGCGCTCTATTTGCATGGAACGCATTAAAAGTCGCTGGCTCAGCGCCGTGGCAATTCAATTTAAGCGAGTGGCATAAGCGCAATCTGGCAAACTTGGGATTATCGCTAATGCCGAACGTATCCTGGGCATGGGTTAAGCATAGCGCATATATGCTTTGCAATGACTCCATCGGCTGTCAATTGCTCAATTGTTCGACCAGCTTCTGTGACTTTCGCTCTCGACTGGGCACTCTCGACATATATCCGCATATTCAAGTCCGCATCCGCATATCCGCACATCGGCACCCCCACCCGCATCTGTCAGCAGTGGCAGGCGAAAGCAAACAGGAACTTCAAGTGCAGTCAGTTCGGGTCGAGTGCCCATTAACCGGGATCGATGGGTTGGCATATGGTCACGGTTGTTTGTAGTGCCTGCAGAGCAAAAAAGTCATCTAAGCCAGAGAGGGAAATAATATGTTCCCAACACTTTGGGATATCTTTTTAAGTAGGTCTTAATTCAATAAATAATCAACAAATATTTAGAATGTCAAGTAAATAAGCACCTTATTCCAAGACTATTTGTATTAGTGATAAAATATTTCTACAAAACAAAAGCATTTTATGCTTTCTAAGTAACAAACCAAGTTTCAGCACACAAATACTTATGGTTTATTTTAAATACACCAAACTTAAGCTTCATTGGACGTATTTAAGAAGGAAGAAGAATTTTATGAAAGACACGCATCCGATTTCAAAGTTGTATATCTTTAAACTCTTGTTGCTTAATCTTCTAAAAATTTGCATTTAAATTTTGTTTTGAAAGTTTGGGTTGATATTTTTACGACATAACTCCTTAATTAAATTTAAAAAAAAATCATTTTAAAAAAGGTACCAAAAACCTTCAGTTTTAATTCCATAACTTTTCTTACAAATATCCGATTTCAAAATGGCATTTCTTTATAGTATTGGGGCTTCAGTCTCTAAAACTCTGCGTTTAAAAATTGGTTTGTAATTTCGGGTCGATTTTTTGTCATTTTTATGATGTAACCCCTTTCTAAATATCCGAAAAAGTCGTCTTTGTAGAAAAGTGACCAAAAACCTGCAGTTCTAAATCCATAACTTTTATTTCACGCATCCGATTTCAATGTTGTATATCTTTAAAGTCTTGTTGCTAAATCTTCTAAAAATTTGCATTTAAATTTTGTTTCGAAAGTTTGGGTTGATATTTTTACGACATAACTCCTTAATTAAATCCGAAAAAAATCATTTTAAAAAAGAAAGGAAGCCAACTTCGGCAAGTTAAATTTAAAAAATTTTTTTTTTAATATTTTTATTGTTTCCATGGGATCTTTATGTTATAGTCGTCCGATTTAAATGAAATTTAAACCGTAATTCTGAAATATTTAACCACTACCATATGTCAAAGAACTAAAAAAAAAGTTAAAAAACAGCAAAGTTATAATATTTATTTATTTATTTTTCCGATTGTTCCTATGGGAGTCGTCCGATCCGGCTCGTTCCGACTTATATACTACCTGCAATAGGAAGACAACTTTTGGGAAAGATTCATGCAGATAGCTTAAAACTGAGAGACTTATTTGCATAGAAACGGACGGACAGACGGACAGACTGGCAGACGGACGGACAGACAGACATGGCTAGATCGACTCTCCTAGTGATGCTGATCAAGAATATATATACTTTATAGGGTCGGAAACGTATCCTTCACTGCGTTGCAAACTTCTGACTGAAATTATAATACC